TACCTTATTCTATTGTAACTATACTTATCTGCCCCTTTATTACTTCAAATTTCATCATTTTGAAACATCACTATCACAGTGTAATGTTCCCCAAATTTGGGTACAACTGTCTTGTCTTATATTCTTAGCATAAGAAGGGTCTGATTATATATGCTTTGCTGTTTTTGGAGGTTAAAATGCATATATAATCTGTAGGTCCTGATTATCATTTGTGCTATATATCATTACACACAAATTGTTACATTTTTCTGACCCATGACAATAGCAATATTCAAAATTATATATCCTATTAGCATATTTTATACTTACAGATTTTTGATAATAAATAAATATAGTAAATTTAGATTTACAAATTTTAATTTTTTTTCATAGTAATATTCATTATTGTAAATTTTATAAGCATGTTTAATAATTACTAATTGATAATATTTAAATGTCTTCTTTATGTTTTTTAACTTTTATTTTATTTTTATAACAATGTCTAATATTTAATATTTTATTAGAATATAGTAACTTAGTAAAGTAAATAGTTGTCAAACTTCTAAGTAGTAGACTATAAGTTCAAAATTCACTAATAGTAAAAAATTTGGATAATCAGTTATGTAATATATAGACAGTATTACAGCAATAGCATTCTGTTAATCAGTTAAAATAAGATATCTGTAACTATGCTCATACTAGCATTACTAGCAAGTTATAAGATATCTGTGCAATACTGAAGTTATACAAAAGAATGCAAACTGGCATTAGATAGTGCAAACTTAAGATAAGTTCTTGTAACTATGTAAATCTATAAAACTGAAAAGCTAAAGCTTACTTTAAAAGACCTGAATAAAAAGATAGCATGAATCTTTGACAGTATTATAATAAAGGCTAGATCTAAAAAACAGAGAACAATGTAAAAAAAATTATATAGACAAGAACCTTATATGAGAAGTACTACCAACCAGACTATCAGAAGTTTTAAACTAGAGAAAAAGAATCTTGAAAGATAAAACTTTAAGATACTAGAAACAGGTTACAATTTTTTTAAACTATCTAAATTGAAAGTTTGAGAACAAAAGCAAAACTATACTATAAGTACTAAGGATATACTATAAAGTTAGTACTGAAGTCTGAGTGAACTCTGAAAGAGTGAATCCTATTAACAAAGATTAAATATAGGTAGTTAGTTAGCAGAAAGCCACCTAGAGCCTTATATTTAGATGAAGTATTCTGAAATATATAATGGCTTAATTAATATACAGAAAGTTCAAAATTAGATTAGACAGCACTTAAATGTATGAGAGCTTGTACACTATCAGTCAGATATAGTATAGAAATCAGAATGTTTAATTAGATAATCTTCTAGAAGATTACAGATATGGCATCTAGTATAAAACCTGTAGGCAGAGTACTTAAATAAATTGCCAAAAAGCTGTATATATAACTAATTAACACTTATCTTGTACAAGTTATATAACTATAATTAAAGTACAATAAAGGCTAATGGCCTTAGTGAAAGCAAAAAAAAAATTAATAATAATATTCTATTAGCATGTTTTATAACTGCTAATTTTTTGATAATAATTGAATAAATTTTTATATTTTTTAATTTCTATTCTATTTTTAGAATATTTTTTCAAAATATTATTACTTAATTTTAACTCTTACAAATATTATTACATCTATGATTTGTAAAAAAAAAATTTTTGAATTTCATTTTTTTTTAAGTTTATATTTTCAAATCTTAGTAGTATATAGCTAAATCTGTTAACAAAGATTGATGCTTTATAAGTTACAAATCATTAGAACATTAATTTATATTTATTTATAAAGGCATATAAATAGTATAGTATTTTAAATTTTTTTTCAATTAGTTTCAATATATTCTAAGTTTTAAACAAATGTTATATAAATGCTTTTTCAGATCTTTAAATAATAACAAACATGAAGATGGTAATTCTAGTATAGTGGTTAGGTTGACGTTCTTCAAGTAACAGGTCTAAGTTCAAATTGCATCTATAATGAAATTTGAAAATTATATCTGCATTATGGTAACTGTCTACTGTTAATTGGTTATCTTTATGCAACTGTAAACCAGATATACTAAGTCAGGTCTTATTGACATTAGGAGCTTGAGGCATCTATATGAAGTGTAATATATATATATATAGAAAAATGTATAACCAGTATTGTATAAGACTTTAGTTCAAACCCATAATAAGACTATCAAGTATAGAAGACTAAGAAACTGAGATAATAAAACCAACTTGAAAATTCCTAAATAAAGAGATAGCATAAACTTTTGACAGTACTATCAAACTGGTTAAAGCCCATAAACCACCTTTATAAAAACTGAAGATTAAAATTAAACAACAAATATATAAGAGAAGCACATAACCAACTAGGCTGCTAGACTTGTCAGAAGAAAAGAATACAGAAGTATACCATACTGGGCCATCTGAATTGGTAATCTGAAATAAGACTTACAGTTCTGAGTTGTGGCTAGTAGTAAATAATAGCAAAGATGCCAAAAAGATAGGTACTGAGTTCTAGTAAACTTTACAAGATTAGAAATAGTGTAATATAACAGTTAAACAAGTAACTTCTGTGATTGCAAGTGTTAGATAACTATAGCATATTATATAAAACTAGATCAGTATATATAAGACATAAAGGCTCTAGTAAGTTTTCTGTTAATGATGAAGTAGTTCTAAGGATACTGACTAGTATTGGAAACTTGGATAGGTGTAGTCTTAAAAATGTTCTTATGAACAAAAAGAATTGCATATACAGAGAGTTTAAATAAGCAAGACTTCTAGTTGGTTTACAGGTATAACATCTAGTATAGAACTTATAAGTAATGTATAAGCAAACTACTTAAATTAGACATCAAAAGTGTATATATAACTAGTTGTAACCTCCAATGTAAGATAGCCTCTAGAGGCATACCATGTTCTATATACTTAAATAAAAATATCATATCTCAAAGATAAAGACTTTAATATTAAAAAAATAAATAAATAATAATAATAACAAAACATTAGTATAAATTATGTTTTTCTAATTATAATTAATAGCATTCTTTTAAATCATAGCTAATATTAAATAGATGCTTTTTTTAGACCTTCAAATAATGATAAGCATTAATGCAATTTATATTATATCTGATAATTAAAAAAATGCTCTTTTTAGATTTCATATAATAACAACTATTACTATAATATACATTTTTTTTTTTTTATTTAATGTGAGACCTGGCCTCAGTCTTTATTGAACAATTTGGTATTACATTAATTAAAATGTTTTATATAAATTATTACAGAGATCTATAGCTAGGACTAATATACATTCTTTTAATAATGCCTTTTTAAATATTCAAATAATTAAAAATATTAGTATCTATTTAGCTATAGTTTATAGTATTCTTTTAGACTATCTTATATATAATTTATTATTATTTTTTTAATATTAAGGTGAGTATATATGATCTAGAATTTTATTAATTGTATATATTGGCTAGCATCTATTAATATAACAGATACAGAGACAATTATAAAAAGAGTATACAACTAGCCATTTAGACAACTTTAGTTATTGTCTAATTTAAATAGTTCAACTAAAGATTCTACACTAGTTCATATACCTAGGACCTATCTATAGGTCCTCTATTTAAACACTTTAATCTCATATCTATTACACTTTACTAATAACTCTAATAAACAAGTAAAGATATGCTATAGTTACTAAGTTATGCTTAACTTTGTACTAAACCTACTAAAGAATTCTGTATCTTATATTTACAACTCACCTGGTATTACTTTGGTCTAAACTATTATTTGTAGTTAGGTTTAACTATTAAATCACTATATTTTGATAAGATTTACTCAAAATCTTAGTAGTTATCTTTCTGATATTTTCTTTATTATCTTCTACTAATAACTACTTAGAACTAACAGGACTTCTCAAACTTTCAATTCAAATAGTTTAATATAGTATATCTTAGTATTCATTTTTTTGATAATTCTAACAGTTTGGTTTGTTATATGCTTCTTTATACATCTTGTTATTTAGTTTATCTACCTATTTTTTTGAAGATGTTTTATAATTTTTTATTAGTTCAATAACACTATCAAAAATTTTATACTACCTCTTTATTTAAAATTTTTAAGTGGGTTTCTAACTCTTTGATTTCATTGCTTTTCATATTAGGTAATCTTATCATAAGTTTGCACTAAAGTCTTATGCAATACTGATTATTAATATTCCTCTATATAGGTGTAATGCTATACTTTGCATAAATGCCTTGAGCTCCTATTCAAGATGATGTAACTGAAGGTTACAGATATACTAATTCAACTAATTAACAGAGACAGTTACTATAACACAAATCTATTTTTCAAAATTTGGTATATATGAGATTTAAACTCTAGATCTGCCACTTGGGAGTTAACAACCTGGCCATTTTACTAGGTTGTCACACCCACCTATACATAATTTATTATAAATACAGTATGTTAATTTTATATACTCTAATATGATTTTTACAATACACTTCTTCACTTTATTAAACTATATAATACTATTATTCAAAATATTAATTACAAAACTATACAATATTTTAAATTGGTTATAAATTAATATATATATTTATAAATTCAACAATTATCTAATGATCCAAAAAAACAAATTTCTATCATCTTTAATAATTAGTAATTATTATTTTATCAACTCAATAAAAAATCTTATAAAAAAAACAAAAAATACTAAATATCAAATAAATATACAAATTAATTTGTACTAGATTATTAATTTTTGTATTTTGAATTTTTTTTACTATTGTTAATTTGTATTTAAGTTAAAATTTGTAATTATGTATCTAAATATATTTATATATTTATTGATCTATATGCATAATGAATTTATATGTAAAAAATAACTAAATAATTCATGCAGACCAATTAAACTTAAGATTTTGTATATGGAAACCACTTGTTGTTTTATATAAATTATATATTTCATGATTTCATTACTTTTTTCTTGGTATAAACCAAATATTTTAATAAAACCAATTAAGTAGATTATTTTAAAGATAAAATAAAAAAAATTCATTTGTTTTTTGATAAATTTTAATATTATTTATATAATAGTAAAGTAATCACTAATAATATTATATAAGATATATTTATAGAGTTTTAAAAGAATGTTTAATAGTATTGTTAAAGATTTTGAAAAGATAATAAAATATTATATATAATGTTAGTAAGATATTTATAATATTGTCAGATTATTAATATAAATGAAATATATCTTTGACATTTGTGCAATAAAAACAGTTAACATAATATAAAGATGAGAATAATAAATATTTGATTTTGCATGATAGATAAATTGTCGGTAAGAATTTTGGTACATATATCAAATCGCACTCCGAATCTATATTTTTAAATAGGCTTCAATTAGCACCAAAGTTCTATCTATGTGTTACATAAAGGTCTTTTTTAAACTTGCAGATGATGTACACTAAAACTTTATCATAACAAATTTAGATTTAATTGTAGTTTATAACAATTTTATTTGATTGTAATTGTATAATAATTTAATTGAAATTAAATTTCAGTACCCTAGCAATAACTATTAAAATAGTTCGACTTTAAACTATCGGACATTTATTAGTGATTGTATTTTGAGTTAGGTCATATAGCTGTATAGGGTCATCATGTTTTGACATTCAATATTTATCGATTTCTAATTCAGGCATAGATAAATATAAAGTGTAAGATAATAATTAAAAGAAAACTTAACCACATCAAAATTTTAATATTTTTATTTTATGAAAAGTTGTTAAAGACTGTAAAACTAAATAAGAAAGAAAAAATATTGATCGATTAAGAAAAATCAATACCATCTTATAAAAATTCTACTACACTACATTGTATGTTTTTTTTACTTTTATAACAGCTAACAATTAAATATAAATCTAATATCTATATTATATAAGATAATAACTGATTTTCCCCACAGGTAATTATTACTTGTAAATATATAAAATAAAATTCAAAACAATACTAAGTTATATAATCCAAAAAACTTTAATTTATATAAGATGTTAATATTATATGTTTATAAGAAATGAATTGAACTTGAATTTCTAGTTCTGGTTGTAGTGTTCATTTTTTTAACTTCTATAACACCTTTCATACCCCCGTCACAGTGTGTACTTACATCACAGAAAAATCCGAGTACTGACGGTGTATCTTTATTGATCACAAATGTACCTTCTGTACCAGCAACAGCAGTTTGTTTAATGATTTCTGTTTATTAAATAATGAGATTTCGTAAGAAGTTTATACTGATAAAGAGAAAAATGGATATGAATAGTCGATATTTACCAGAATTATTCAGTTTTGTAGATTTATTGCAGGTTCCAGGTTCATCTGATAGAATAACGCTGTGAAAACCGTTGGTAACTGTGAATCTGACCTAAAGATTTAATAAGAACCATGATATTAAATTAACCATGTTACTTGCTCATTTACGAGAAAACTATCAAATACTTACCCTATCACCCACTCTTACAGTAACCTTTTCCGGAGAAAAAGAATTTCCATTCGATCCAACTTCAATTTTGTGTGTCCTGAATGCCCTGGCAGAAATAATAGTAGCCAAAGTCAAAGTGACCAAAAACAAAGCTAAAAACTTAACACTTAATTGAGCCATTTAATTTTTTTGTTTTTTTTAAAAAAAACTATGTAGTTATATAGAAGCAATGAATGTTTCTTGAGAGGAAAATTAGGTTTTATTTTATGTACCAGACTTTAGTGAATGAACGTCTGCAATTTATATTAGTGAATGAATGTCTGCAATTTATCAATGAATAATGATTGTTATTTTTTTTATCGATAGGAAGGAAATTGGGACGTTTATTTATATTGAATGCCAGATACATTCCGCATTTAATTATTGAGTACTTTGAACTTTTAATTAATTAACTAAGTAAAATAAATATACAGTCAAACCTCTCTATAATCACACCCTCTGGGATAAAGATTTATGTGCTTATAAAAATATTTTTACTAAGATGTGCTTATAAAAAGGTTTTTTTAATATGTTTATATATAATTGGTTTCTAAATAAATGTGCTTATAAAGAGGTTTTTTATATGATGTGCTTATAATGAGTGTGACTATAGAGGGGTCTGACTGTATATATATACTGCATTATTTTTTTTACATTCCCGAATGTATTCATAACGGTTCTGATCACTTTATAGGCAATCATATCATAGACATGTTTATTTGCAAACCCTTAATTTGACACAGGTTCCTGTAAATAAATGATCTCATTTCACCACAAAGTAATTATTATTAAGATCATTCGGAATTATGATTTAAGGTTAATACGATTCATTTAAAAAATCATGTATGTGAAATAAGTTATTGATAAAATAACTTACTATGAAATGTCATTGATGAAAAAACTATTTATGGAATGGAATTGTTTATCTGCAAAATAATCTTATCTGTAGATTATTTGCAAATAGGCATAGTATCATTTGTGTCCATAATTCGTATCCGTTAATTGGCTTTAATAAAAAAAAAAAAGGGTTTTGTAAATTTGAAGATTGAGCAAATTTCGCTAATAACATGCAATGTTTGAAATGATCCATAAGTGAACGGGTCGACAAACTTACAATTTATGTTTATAGTTGAGAAATTGATCATAGTAATGGACCCTGGTCGAAAATATTTAAGTAATTGTGCAAATGATACAAACCCCACCCCAAAAAAAGGAAAATAATAATCACTATATCCAGTTATTTTTAATAAACGCTCGTTTTCTATGGAAATTGTCTGTAATGGCGTGAACACTTAACACTTTTAACATTTAAAAAGTTCTTCCAAGTAGGAGCAGGAAGAATGTTTTACAATTTATAGATAGACCATATTTAGTTTTAATATGATAGTTTTTACTCTAACATATACAAAGATATGCAGGGTGCTTAATAAGGAATGCTATGTGATTCTATTTATGAATAAAAAATAATAATTTGTGCAATATTAAAGTTTCATTTTTTTTTACTTTTTTGTTATAGCGCATTTAATGTCAAATTCAAATTCAATTACGGTAAGAAAAAAAACCGTAACCTTCAATACAAAATAGGAGTTGATTTTATGTTTAAACATTACACTAATGAAATGATTGACAGGTCTAAACAGGGGTAAAAAACATGAGATTTTGATTGGCTAAAAATTTTAACTTGGCATGGCCTATAATAAATTTTTGTATTCAAATTTTTCCAGAAAATTGTAAGATCTGAATATCATCAGACTGTATCCTCGATCGTGATAACGTACAAGTTTGTAAAAATCATAAGCTAACTCGTAAAAATGGATAATCTTGAGATTCGGTTATCAGAAAAAGGGAAAAAAAAATTTATTTTATTTTGGCAATTTATCATGACGATATGATGACCATCTTACGTCAATCAATTACATATTCATTGTAGTATCGAATTTAAAATCAACTTGATATTAAATTTGTCGATTTTCAAATTTAGAATCAACTTAGGTTGTATTAATTTGGCTACATTGAAATTCCGTTCCAACTTAAGTTGATTCTAAATCCACAATAATTCTATTTCGACGTACGAAATATATATATTATGAGTATAATATGCTATATTGATATAGTTTTATGCGATTTTGTAATATACTCTACGATTAAACCTTATACTACAACTATTCGTAATACCGACCGTACTGTACTGATATTCATATACCAAGAATAGAGTTTCACGGAAGTGAAACAAGTGAAACGAAGAGATGGCGCAGGAGAGACCTTTGATGCTACATGACTAATCCTTCACCCGGTGTGCAACACATAAAAAATTTATTTCACAATACCAGATCATTCCACTAATACATTTCATGATTATAATCCAACACCATTTTATTATAATAAAAATGATGTTGGATTATAATCATAACATGTACTAGCGGTATTTTAAAATAAATTTTTCTGTGTTCCACACCGGGTGAAGGTCTGTTAGGGGATGGTTTACAGTCATGTTCGATGATGCTCGCCCACGATTTAATGTATTTGATTGGTCAACAAGATCAGCATGATCAGTAGATCTTTCCTGTTTCTTTTTTCGCGCCTGCTTTGTGAAACGTTTGTTTTTTATTTGCGGGTGGTGAGCTGATCGACATGATCCTAGGGATGTTAATCGGTCTTTTGGGACTGAATCCTAACCGATCCTTACAAGGACCTGCAGGATCGGTAAGGACTCGGTCCCTAAATCACATGACAACACAATGCATTTTATAGGACTTGGATCCTGAATTTGAGTTATTATAACAATACAAATTAATTTGATTGGATGAACTTAATCGGTAGATTCAATTCAGGATCTGATACAGGGATCGAGTCTAGGACTGTCTTTTTAGATCCTAGGATCGGACTGGACTGGATTCGCAATTTAACATCCCTACCGTATGGGCGGATTTTTTTTGACTTTAGCGATTATTAAAAATAAATGATAATAATTCATAAAATTTGATCCAATCATTTATGTGATAAAGTGTAATCACCGATAAAGTTGAATTGTACAATTGTATTTGATTAGTCAATCACTTCAAATTTCTTATGAATCACTTATGAAACCGTTGATAAAACTGCATAATAAATGCGTATAATAATTACGTGTATTTAATTGGTCAATTGCTTATGAAACCGTTCACAAAACCCTATTATGCTTATAGATAATGTGAATTTATCAAATTAATTAGTAATAAATTTGATTAGATCTCAGATTTTGCATGTTGATTTATTTATCGTAATATCGAAATATTATCTATTCTGTCATATCACTTAATTTTGAGTAATACGAATAGTAGTAGTGTATGGTTTAGTAAAGTAGTAGAGTATAATACATTAAATTAGCAAACACATGAGTATGGATAATTAGGTCACAACTGAGTATAAAGCAATATATCGTGTATAATATGCGAATGTATATAAAATTTATGCTAACATAATGTTAGAGAAAACTAGAGCCCAGCAGCAGAAATAGGAAATTACTTCTATAAGGCACATAAAAATTTATATTATAAGATCTGCCAGTTCATTATACGAAAATTAACAGTATACTTATGTTGTTGTTCATATGCCAACAGAAGATAAAGGTGGCCCATATGTAGAAATACAAGAAAACAACATATTCACGCTATAGTGAAACCTATAGGCTCGAAAATATTATATAATTAATTCTATTATATCAAGAGTTCACTCTAACAAAGGTGAACTGTATTTGGGTATTGTTTTTTTCGTTGTTTAACTCGTGAATATATGCCTTCTATGGCTTCATTTTAATTATTTATTTGTGTTAATTTAGTTCACGACTGAAGAGAGAATCGTTTACAAATCTAGTTATAGCGAAAGTTTATTATATTGGGTTTCAATATTATATTTATTAGTCAGGTTTTTCTTTAGAATCAGGGCTACTGAAAAATTAATTGTGAGGGCAATCAATTACAACTATTTGAACCCAATTAATTGATTGGTGCAGTTACAGTGGTGCAGTTACAGAGGGCCAATTAATTGCAATTTTTGCAGTTGTTTGAAAAATGTAATGACTTGATAAAAATATATAATAATAAACATAAGTATGAGTATATTTAGAGATATTTGACATCAAAACTTGTAGTTTTTGAATTAAATTGTACAAACCACAAGAATATTAATTCACATTCCTTTACAAAGACATGTACATAGTACAGCATTCTAAATCTTTTTTTTTTTGACGAAAGAAATTAGTATAATTTATGTTCTTCCAGTCATAATCGATAGTGTTCTTTCAGATCATAGCCGATATCAAAAAGATGCTTTTTTAGACCTTCAAATGATGGCTGGCATTAATACAATCTATGTTCTTTCAGGTCATAGAAGATAATCAAAAAGATGCTCTTTTTAGACCTCCAAATGATGATTATCATCAGCGTAATTTACAACTATTTTATGTATAATATATTATGAGTATAGTATGCTAAATTTATATACTCAAATGCCATTTTTGCAGTATACTCCACTACTTTACTAAACCATATACAACTACTATTCGTAATACCACTTAATTTTAATAATCACAGAATTTCTATCAATACTTTTCGTCCATACGCCCAATCCTCCCAAACTTTTACACTAACCCTAATCTAACTTAGGCCGATCGACATTTGAGGCAAGCTTTAGTCTGAGGCAATCAATATCCTTTATATCAAGAGTCATAAAATATATCAATTAAAATAGATCAATATTATTGTTTAATTTGTTTTTTTGCAGACACCTAACTATAAATGTCTTTTAAAATAGGTTCCTATCAACATAATAAATTTCTTAGAGTTGAATGCGGCATGATAAGTATTTGATACGAAAAACATTTAAATACTAAAGATTTGGCCAAGGGAAGAAAAATAAAACTTTTAAAGATTTTTATTATTGCTCAAACCATTTCACAAAAATATGATTCATAATCTTATCCGCTTATTAATTTTATCAACAGCATTCTTTATGGCGAATGCTTTTGTTTATACAAGCTGCGCTGATAAAATTTATGGTGCTGAACTTGAATTAACATTTGACCCTAAACTTCCTGTCGCTGGGCAACCCATCACGCTTAGTATTTCTAGTGATTTTAATCAAGAAATTACTACAAAAACCCATATTTATATTAAATTATTAGAAGGTGCTTATGATAAAGAACCTCTTGAAATGTATAAATATTATCAGAAACTTTGTACTGGAAACGAAGCTTTGTGTCCAATCTCAGTTGGAAAAACAATTAAAGTAACAACAAATTTAACAATTCCAAGTGAAATTAATATTGATAATCTTATTATGTTAACTTATATTGGAACACCAAGAGATTCAGATGATTATGTAGTTACTCTTGGCTGTTCATGTTATTCAAAATATCCTACTTATTGCAACAATTTGCAGCACGGATAATCTAAAAGTAGTTTATTATACCAACAATTTAATCTGTTGGTTAAGCTAACAGTTCGAGTTTACTTATGAACTTGTACATATTATAGTCGTGTTGATGGTTTTGCCATGAGTTTTCAAATTTATTGCAAGCATATTTAATTTTTAGTTTTTTTTTTATCAGAACATTATTTTTTTTAATATAAGATTGTTTTTTTTTTAATAGAATATTATTTGTTTTAATAGAACATTATTTTTTTTAATAGGACATTATTTTTTTAATAAAACATTATTTTTTAAAATAAACCATTATATTTTTTTATATTAATTAAGCACTTTTGATTAATAAATTCTGAAGTTTCATTATGTGCATAATTAATAAATATTCTTTCTCTAAATATAAATAACGCAATTAAAAAAAATGACAATTGTCTTTTATCACCAGTGCGATTCATTACAGTAGAGACAGTGCCGATCTAAAAGTGAATCCTTCTAGCTTGTGATCAATCACAAATTAATCCCTCACCATTTTTAGTATACGTTGTAACTAGGGGTCGGTCAAAGGTTTGTGACCGACCGGTTAAAATCCTGACCGATACTATTTTAGCGATGTTAATTGATTCATTACAATGTTTGTTATTATATTACGCAATAATGAGCGATTTGAAAAATAAATAAGTTCAAATTATTTTTTCTTGATGTTAATCATATATAGAGATTAGCGTAATGCCATAATTAGTTGTAATTATAATGAATTATGGCATTATTTGTTGTAATTCATTATAATAACAACTAATTACAGCATTTGCTTACATGCTTTAATATTTATAAATAAAATAATTTATTTAACTAAGATAATACGTATTAATAAGTTTAAACGATGACACTCATAACGATGATCGTGATTCTCGTGATTTAGAAGTACAACGAAAGATGTTTAAGGATAAGTCAGTAATCTTGATGATCACATATGAATAACTTTATTTTCACTTTATAATTTATCAAGAACTCAGCCACAGTAATAATCATCATACTGGACTTCCCCAGAGTAACCATCAAAAAACACAGACACGTCATCTTTGTGGCTTATATTGCTGATTAATATATTCAAAATTACTATCAGCCACATAATATATATAACGATAGTAATTGTTATAATTGTTATTCTTCTTTTGTGCTTAACGCATATCCGGAGTTTTTTTTTGTGGTTACGCTGTAGTAGTTCATCATACATAATGATACTAATACTGATTAAATATGCACATACTGTAGATCTGGATGGGCAGAAAAGTTTTGTCACAAACCTAGCTAATAACTGAACAGTTATTGGACCGGTCATTTGACCGGCTATATGACCGGTTACATGACTGGTCAAATAACTGCGGTCGGTCGGTTATGAGTCAATGACCGGCAATAACCGACCGTGACCGCCGGACCCACCCCTAGTTGTAACACATTAACGGTTTACCTATCAACCAATCATTTGGTTTGTTTTGAATTTACCTTAATCAAAACAAAACAAATAGCGATCGCGTTAAGTTTAGGGTTAGGGTTTGGTAGGATAATAGGTAAAAGACTTTTTCTAACTCAAAAATTCGTAAGGATTTTTTTTTTATTTAAAAAAACTCTAATCGCTTCGCTTTTCACGTTACACCTGATCCTGGATCGTATAAATTATAACTCTCTAAATTATATAAATTTAATAGTGGAAAAATAAGTTGTATTTTTTATTATAGATTGGAGAGTCAAAAAATTTTTATGAAGGTTAATTTTAGAAACCAATAATAAATTTGGACCTTAGAACTTAAATTACAAAATTATGCAACACAACATATAAACAAATAGTAATTTTGCAGTTATCCGTGCCAGAGGCACGGGTCATATACTAGTATACATAAATTAAGTATAATTTTAGAGAAGCGTTATTGCAATTATTCATTATGCCAATAATAACAGCTTGATATTTGGTTTAAGTTTTCATTAGGTAAATAAGCATTATTAATAAATACGAAAACTTTGCTGTATGTTACTTTTGAATTTTATTATTATTTTTTGTTGGCTATGCTGGGGAGTTTAATACAACATATATACAACTCGACCAGCATTAAGCTTTTGGTCAAATTATTCTGGTCAAGATGTTCGTCAACCACTATACTTCATTCGCGTTTGTGATAAGGTTTGTTAATTACATGACCAAAATAGTATAATTATGAACTATTAACTTTTTCAGCCAAAATATTTATCAAACTTGGATTTGACAAGGTACTTAAATCACCTAATTGATCTGTTTCACCAGAAATGATTTTTCTTAAAATACGTCTCATAACTTTACCACTTCTAGTCTTTGGTAAATCAGTAACAATATAAATCTTTTTAGGTGCTGCGAATGGACCAATAACCTTACGTACTTGTGCGATCAAATCTTTTACATCAATATTACAATGTGATATTAAAGTGACAAAAGCGTGTACACTTTGTCCTGTTAAATCGTCAGGTACTCCAATAACAGCTGTTTCTGCGACCATAGGATGAGCAATAAAAGCTGATTCGATCTCTGCAGTTGATAATCTGTGACCTGACACATTGATAACATCATCCACACGTCCACGAATCCAATAATAACCATCACTATCTCGAGCAACACTGTCACCTGTAAAGTAATAACCTTTGTAAGGTTTTAGGTATGTATTAAAATATAGATTATGATCTTTGTAAATTGTGCGTGCTATTGATGGCCAAGGTTGACGTATTGCCAAAACACCTTCTGCCTCCGTTGTTGTTATCTCTTTACCAGTAGTAGAATCAAGTACAGCAAGATCAATACCAAAGAATGGTAAAGTGGCAGAACCAGGTTTTGTTGAGATAGCACCGGGTAATGGTGATACAATCGTCGAACCAGTTTCTGTTTGCCAATAAGTATCAATAACTGAACAAACATTTCTACCAACTACTTCATTATACCACTTCCAACATTCTGGGTCAATAGGTTCACCAACTGATCCGATAATTCTTAAACTTGAAAGATCATGACAATCAATATGTTCACGACCAAATCTACGCAATAAACGAATAGCTGTCGGTGCAGTATAAAAATGTGTAATCTTATGTTTTTCAACAACCTCCCAATATCGCTTTGGTGTTGGATAGAAAGGTGTTGATTCGAACAAAATTGTAGTACCTCCATAAGCCAACGGACCATAGACAATATAAGTATGGCCAGTAATCCAACCAATATCAACCATACAACCAAAGATATCTTTATCATGATAATCAAAGACATATTTAAATGTAGTTACTACACCTACTAAGTAACCGGCAGTAGTGTGAAGAATTCCCTTTGGTTTGCCAGTTGATCCAGAAGTATAAAGCAAAAATAATGGGTCCTCCGCATTTACAATTTCTGGAGGACAATAAGGACGATATTTTTCAATTTCTTCGTGGCACCATACATCACGAGGAATAATGAATGGAACTTTTGAGCCAGTACGACGGAAAACAAATACATGTTCAACAGTAAAACATTCTTTTAAAGCATCATCTACGATCTTTTTTATCATAGTAGTTTTTCCACCACGACGGCCTTCGTCAGCAGTGATAACAAATCTACTAGATGCATCTTGAATACGATCACGTAAAGATTCAGCAGAAAAACCGGCAAAGATTACAGAGTGTACCGCACCTAGACGAGCGCATGCCAAAAAAGCAATGACAGCTTCGGGTATCATTGGCATATAAATAGTGACAATATCACCTTTTCTCACTCCATGAGCTTTCAACGCATTAGCGAGACGACAAACATCACGTAAAAGTTCACCATATGTGATTTTTCGATCTTGACCAGGTTCATCAGCTTCATAAATTATGGCAACCTAACAAAATATTGTCAATATCCAATTGAATTAATATTAAAAAAATGTATATATAAATATATATATTATTTTTTTGATACTATACCTTATCAGGATTTTCAATAGCATGTCTATCCACACAATTATATGTAGCGTTCAATTGACCTTCATGAAACCAAGCAATGTCACCATGTTCGAAACCTCCAAATAAAACAGTTTGGAAAGGTGTAATCCAAGTAAGAGCTTCTCTAGCAATCTATTAATTATAAACATAATATAGAGACAGCCGAAATTATTGCATCAAATATAATGTTTAATAAAAACATCGAATTCTCATTCAAGATTCTCATTCAAGAAATTTAATGTAAGATGCAATATTCTCGACTGTCACCATAAATGTAAAATAATAAATTATTTTAGACATAATGAAAAACTGTATAATAGATTATATTATCATCTACTTGACTAATACTCGATTTAATCAATTTAAAATTAAAACTTTACTTTTCCCCAAAACTCTGTAGGATTTTTAATACTTTCATCATAAAGTTTTTTATATTGTTCTATAGAATTAATGTAAGGCGTAGGATTTAAAGATGGATCTAAAAGGCATTTTGGAACAGGATAAAGCTTTGTTTCTGTATTGAGATATTCAGCAGACATTATTAACTATGATATAAGGTTTATTAAAAAAACAAAAAAATAAAAGGTAGAAAGGTTGTTAAATCGTAATGTTGTTAAAATGTGACTAAAAGATCGGTGCTTTACACAATATAGAAGAAATTGTATTAAATATACGTACTTAATATTTTTTAAAAAATAACAATGTATAAGGGAATGATATAATTACATCATAATTAGTGATTTGAAAAATATCAGAGATGCTTATTGCCCACACTAAACCCCGTTAAACATATAAAAAAAAATTATTATACTTATATGGTTTAATGGCTTTTTTCATTAAACATCATATAATGCAGTAATGACAATATTGCATTTTTGCTATGCTATTTTGCGAAATTTAACGTTAAGCATTCTTAAATATTGATATGTGTCGAGTTAATGACGTAATAATTAGTCACATATTGATATAACCATTTTTCCGTAATATTCATTAGACTAGAATCGTCCTAATGTGAAATTTGCGTAACTATAATAAGTTATATAGTAAACTAC